ACATATTTACTAGTACATGAATTCTAGTAAAATTGGGAATTACTGCATAATTATGAATCTGTGACCAGTGCCATAGCTGCATGCAACACATGTTGTTGCAGTCCTTCAGTACCCTCTGTCCTCTGTCCTTCTTCTCTCATCTCTGTTTATATTTGTCTTATACTGTCAAGTTCATAATGAATAAATTGAGCATTTAGCATAATGATCCTGTTATATATTTATTTATTTATTTATTCATCTATTTAATATGTTGACAGAATGTGATGGTGGATTATTATCAGTTAGTAGTATATTTATACTTTATTGTTCTCATCCCTCTCCTCCTATCCTTTCTTTCATTTTCTCTCTCGTAGGAGCTTGTAGCTTTAAAAGACCCTCATGCATTTAATGTAAGTAACGTAATGTAATGCTTAAAAATTGCCTGCAATTTTTATTACATTTTCTGATACATATTTACGTATTCATGCTGTGTAGAAAGTTTGAGCTGATTCTGACTTCAATTTTTCAAGTTATAGCCATTTTAAGAAATTGCTGCTACATGTATTTTGAAAAATACCCAAAGCTATAGCCCATGGTTTTTCAAAAAATGGCTCTGAAATTACCCCAAATGTTTATTACATTTTCTGATACATATTGATGTCCAAGTGATGTGTAAAAGTTTAAAGCCGATTCCACTAAAATTTTTGAGCCATGTCCATTTAAAGAAACGAACCAATTAATATTATTGCATCTCATTATTTTTATTGTATTTTAAAAGTTTAATGAAAGCTTTGCTGATAAACATTGAATTATGAAATCTAAAGTAAATATACATGTACATATGTACATGTACATGTAATCCTTTATCTCCATGTCTCTCACTATTTAGAGTGTTGATAGAAAATATGTGTTTCATTTACCCGACACATTCCCAGAGACTCAAAGTATCTTGAGGTACGTTATTCTGCTCGTCATCCTGCCCCTCCCCCACCTCCTCTTGTCTCTTGTACAGCTGTGTGTTTGGTACCAATACAACAAGGTTAGGACACACAGTCAGTGTATGTACATGTACATGTTTGTCCTTTTATGTTTTGCCTTATTTTAGCAACTCAAAAATTTCAGATTTAATTGGAATGAGCTCAAACTTTCTACACAACATAAAAACATGTACATGTATCAGAAAAAAATTATAAAAGTAGAGACTTTTCTCCTTTTCATTTTTGGTGAAATTTAGCGAATGAACCTGTACTATAGTGCGGGGAATTCCCGAAATTTACATTTTTTCAAAAAGTGGCTTCAAAATCACCTCAAATTTTTATTGCATTTTTTGATACACATTGATATCCTTATGCTTTGTACAAAGTTTCCAATCAAATTTTACAAATTTTTTAAGTTACTCAAAAATTAGGATAAAGTTCCTGTACTATACATGTAGTACAGGGACTTTGGCCAAATTTTGCCAAAAATGAAAAGGAGAGAATTTTCCATTTTAATTACATTTCCTATTACAGGAGAGTCATTCCTTACTCCAACCGATACTGTCCAGTATATTCTACTTCTTGTCTGTACTTTGTGTTCCTAAGTACAAGTCAATACTTGATTCCCTTGAGAAGGAGAGGGCCAACCTCTCATTGCCATGACGACAGAGA